AGGACTGCTGCTTCTCTAGGCTTAGACAATCAGTGAAAGAATGAATGACTTCACTTTCCACAAGAGGCAGGTCCTAAAAATGTTATATGCACAAAACAAAACTTGAGTAAACCATCCATATATTAACCGCCCTAGCAGAGATCATTGTCTTAGCAATCTTGAGGAGATCCTCTTTGCAAAGCAAAGAAGCTGATAGTGATGTTAACACTCTGTTTTGTAAATAACTGTTTTGGCGTAGTACAAGGGTCCTAGTTTCCACCCTGAGCCATCCTCAGAGTCCCCTGAGTTTCTGGAGACTGGTAGGGCTGCCGGATCTAGAGGCCATTTGTGTGATACTAAGGACCCTCCTGCAAGAGACATCATCCTCAGGGAAGTGGGCTTCTGTACAAGCTTGACCCAATACGAAAGGATTGGAGGGGAAGCTGCTTCAGAGCTACAGCCTGGCCTGTGTTAGCAGTTTCTTTCCAGCCACCTTTGAATTCGAATCATGTCACAGGATGAAAAGGAGCTATGAACACAAGCTCTAGACGATGCCTCAAGGTCCTCCTTTAACATCCCCATCAAAGAGGTGAGTAGTGTTTCTCCCCATTTCTGCCCTGAACCAAATGGGCTTCAGTAACTGGAGGGCTCCAGCAGACCCAGGGCCCGTCCAGAGCAGTGGTGAAGGGACTCAGGTGGCAGTGGGGCCAGCATGAGCCCTCTGGCACAAAGACCAACGTCCTCACTTGGAGGACCCCCGAAGAGCCACTAGGCAGAGAGCAGGGCAGTAGTGACCTCCCCCATGTGGACTGGAGCCGGTGAGGAGGAAACCAACAGATGCCCGCACTGTGGCAAAAACGAGTCACACAATCCACCTGGAGACTCCTAGAAATAACTGCACCAGATTTGGGGCGGCCAGGCAGTTCTGCAACAGCTGGTCACAGTGAAAGCCAGGAAGTAAAAGCACTCAGAAGACTGGTAGTATTACCTTCTTTGTAACCCCAAGCTAGGGGGCTGCGGTCTGAACAAACAGGTCAGAACATTTTAGGTTTTTTACAAATACAGATTAACCGGCATGCTAAATCCTAGTCTGTTAATCTGGTAATTGAAGTATTTTTTTAAAAAACACAGTCAGCTTTAGCTTCCTTTTTTTCCCCCCTCATCAAACTTCGTGCATGACTTCGGCTTTACTTTCTTTGTCAAGACATGCCACAGTGCTGAGTCACTTAAAAGAAAAAAAAAAAAGAAAGTAAAGGAAGAGTGATACTACTACTTAGAGATAGCCTCAGTGATGACCTAAGCTGCACTTTTTTCCCCAGTTATGATTCCTTGTGATGCTAAAGGACGTCACATTGCACAATCTTAATAAGGTTTCCAATCAGCCCCACCCGCTCTGGCCCCACCCCCCTACCCTCCAACAAAGTTTTATCAAATGTGGGATTTTCCCACGAGACTCAAAATTAGAGTCTCGAGCCCCAATAAATATAAGACTGGAGATGTCTGAGGCTCATTCTACCCTTGAGCCCTCCAGGAACGAAAGAGAGCTCCATCTGCCCTCCAGGAACCCAGCTATGAAATCCCTCTCCGCACGTAAGTGAAGGAAATCCCTAGCCCTGGGAGCGCCGGCGGCGGCAGCAGCAGCGCCTGTGCGAGGCAGGGGTGTGTGGCCGGGCCCGCTGGCTCGCGGCCAGCAGAGGCGAGCTCCCAGCTGTGCCGTCGGCTCACTGGGCTCTCCCCTCCCTCTCGCACAGGCGCCTTCTCTCTGGGGCTGCTCCTGGTGGTGGCTACTGCATTCCCCACCCCAGAACCTCTGGAAGAAGTTTCCACAGATGATGCTACCCCAAACAAGCCATCACTCACCACTCCAGAGCAAACAGAAGGACTGGTGAAGCACCTCCTCTCAAAAATCGATGAACTGATAGAGCAGGTGGGTAGCCTTGGCGATGGGGGCAAGAGGGCCCGTGTGGGGCATGTGTTCCCCTTGCCCCTGCGTGTGGACAGAGGCGGCTGCATTGGGAGGTCTTTACTGGGTTCCGGGGCACTTTAGACTCGAGGCCAAAGGGACAGACTAGACTGTCTTCTGTACATCTCCTCTACTTGCTGGTCTCAGGAGTTTCCTTTCCTTTCTGGAAAATACAGAATGGGGCTGGAATCCATGCTCCTTGACCCATTTTCAACTCCACTCTTGGCATGAGCTCCCTTTTCCCTAACCAAAAAATAAGGTCTGTGAACCTTCTTCCTTGGACTTTAGGAGAATTAGAAAAGTGCCACCTGAAATGAATGTTCAGCTTCTCAGGGAAGTTGCAATACTTTTTGGTGACATAAGCTCGGTGGTCAGGACTCCCCAAAGTCACTCCACCTAAGGTGTATACTTTAGAGGCCACCAACGCGGCAACATCATATGTAGGTTAAAGCATCTTCCAACTTTAAATGCAAGATATTTTGGCTCTGTTTGGTAGAAAGAAAAGAACACAGGAGAGGGGATTGGGAGCTGGGACTCTAGTTCTGGTTCTGCCAAACCAGGTTTGTCATCTTGGGCAAATTCCCTACCTACTACCTCTGGATCCATCTGTAAAACTGCGGGGTTGGAACTAGATGATCTCACAGGTCCTTTCAGCTGGAACATTCAATGGCTTGAATTATATTCACCCAATTATCAAAATTGCTGTCCTTTATTAAGTACCCACTATGTACCACGCACTTTATACGAATAGTATGTCTAATCCTCGTAACAAACTTGCATACTTTAGTGATCCCCAATTTGGACATAAGGAAACTGAGACTCAGGATGAGTAACATACCTGAAGTCACAGTAAGCCTGGACTTGGACCGAAGCGTGCCCAGATTCACTGGACTTTGCTTGCCAGGATGCCAGTGGGTTTTGACTTCACTTTTCTTAGAGACTTTCCTGGCTGTGGCAGAACAGGAATTGGCCCTCTAGTGGTGTTTGTTTTAGGGGCACTTACATGGTAACAATTTTGGTATTCTTTCCCAGCTGTGTGAAAAGGGTCCCAAATGCGGAGACGCCAAGGAGGCACTGGCAGGAAACAACCTGAAGCTTCCACAGATGACAGACAAAGATGGATGCTTCCAAGCTGGATTCAGTCAGGTATGAACTCGTTGCATTCACTTTTAGCTATCACTTAGGTAAAATTCTCCCTCTTGCATTACAGTACCTGATAGATCCAGGCAGTCCACAAAGAAGGGGATAGATGTAAAGAACATTATGCAATTTCATGAGGATGCCAACTCAAGCTTTTTTGAAGGCAGTTTATCTTTGAGCAGGCTTGGCCTGAGATGGCCCTTCTGTACTGGGATTTTCACAGCTGCTAAATGTTAGAAACCCCAGCAGGTTTAGCTAGTTCGTGCTGAGTAAGGTAGTCTGGGGGGCCTTTCTCCTCTCTGGCTTCCCCTGGCAGGATCCAGGCCCACCCTCCTTGCTCCGTTAATTCTCCACACCCTTCTCCTTCCACACAGTGAAATAACCTGCACTGACCTGATTATTCCTTAAAAGGAGGTTTCAGCCCAACATTGACATGGGCAGGAGTGCAGGAAGAGCATCAGAGGGAGGATCCAGGAAGGATCTCTATTGCCACATTTGAGTACCTGTTGGGCTTTGGGTCAAATTAATTATGTGGTGCCTGTAATTATCCAGATATTTACCATTGTAAATATGCTTCCTGATGTCCCAAAACGTGATGCCTAGGAGGTACTTGAAGTTCTCTGGAGAGGCAAAGGGAGAAGATGCTGAATTATAGCAATTTGAACTTTTAAAATTGATCCCACACCCCCATCCTTCACTTAGGATTAAAATTGGTTCTATCTCCTAGTGATAACTAATTTTCCCACCATCTTTTCCCTTAGGACATTTGCATGCAAAGTATCGCCTCTGGACTTGCAGGGTATCATGCATACCTGGAATACATCGAGGACAAGTTTGAGGGTGATATGAACAACGCCAGAGCTTTGGATATGGGCGTCAAATATCTGATTGAGATCCTGAAGGAAAAGGTGAGTGTTTCCCCTCGTCCCCCCACTTGGCATGCGGAAGACTGGCTCAAAGGAAGCAGCCTGGGCAATTCGGGGATGCAAGGCTACGTGTAAATGGAAGGCTCTGAAGAATAGTCCCCTAAAGTTTAAACCTTTTGTTTTTGGCTCTCTTCTGCAAAAGGACATTTATAACTGTATTTAAAACTATATTAAAGGAGGTGGATTTTAACATCAATTTCTAACAGCTTAAGAGATGAGAAGAAAAGATTTGTAGAGGCAGAAGGAAGCACATCCAACCCCACCCAGTGATCCATAATAACAGAGAACAGAGAGCACAAAAATAATTTTAACGTTTTAATTAGTGCCAAGCGGCATTCTTCTCATTATGGTTATTTCAATTCTTTTTCCCTACATTTTACGAGAGAGTTAATTCAGAGAAGTGGCCAAAGGCTAAAGGCTGGGCCACCAGCAGCTAGCTATTCAAATGGCAGACCCTGTGGGGGCTCCATGGGTGGGAAAGCCAAGCAGAGTGCAAGAGAAGGGCCCTAGAATGAAACCCTGGTGCTGATCCTGCCAAACCGGGTTTCTCGAACTTTAATGTGCACAGGAATGCCCTGGGGATCTTGTGATGCAGAATCTAACTGGCAGGTCTGGGGTGGGCCTTAGATCTGCACTTCCAATAAGCCTATATCCCTGGCCATGCTACAGCACTCCGGGATGCAAAGGGAGGTGCAAGGCCTTCCACGGTTACTTGTCCCTATTTGGGTGGGTCTATGGAAAGGTGCTCCCCAGTTCTCTTCACACCACCAGATCAGTGGACTCTCAACAGATGTTGCATGGATGGTGAGAAGGAAACTGGAAGAAAGTATTAGATTTAGAGGCCACTGAAGAACCCATTAAAATGCCTTTAAGTATGGGTTCCTCATTCATCTATTAAATTCCAACTATGTGCCAGGCACTGTTTCAGATAACAGAATAGAAGACGGATAAGATAGTGGTGTTGCCCTCAGGATGCTTATGGTCTAATGGGAGGCAGAGCAGCAAAGGAATGATTAGAATTCAGTTGCTGTGAAAGGGTCCTACTCAGGGTGGGCTTGGAGCAGAAGCACCTCCCCCGACCTGGGCGAGTCAGGGCAGGCAGCCCCAGTTGGTCTCATTCACCCCAAATTTGAACACCTTCCCACAGCCCAGAGCATCCTTCCACTGCAGAGGATTTGTTCAACATTTAAAGAATCGTTTTTGTTTTCTTTTCCCTTCAGATAAAGAATGCAGAGGCAGCAGCCACCCCTAGCCCAACAGCAAATGCCAAACTGATAGAGGAGCTGCAGTCGCAGAATGAGTGGGTGCAGCACACGGCGATTAACATCATCTTGCGCAGCCTTAAGGAATTCCTGCAGTTCAGCTTGAGGGCTATTCGGATGAATAAGGGGGGCAACTAAACTAAGATTGTTGTAGTTCATGGGCATTCCTTCCCCTGGTCCCAAACCACTCCACTGTGCACATAACTTAGGTTGTTCTCTGTGAAGAACCTAAAGTATAAGTGTTAGGACACTATTTTAATTATTTTTAATTTATTGATATTTAAATATGTGAAGTCAAGTTAATTTATCTAAGTGATATTTATATTTTTATGAAGTGCCACTTGAAATGTTTTATGTCTTCATTTTGAGATAATATAAAGTGGCTATGCAGTTTGAATATCCTCTGTTTCAGAGCCAGATCATCTCTTGGAATGTATAGGCTTACCTCAGATAAATTGCTAACTTATACATATTTTTAAAAGAGATATTTATATTGTATTTATATAATGATGTTTAAATGATTTTGATACCATTAAATCATAGTTTTTGAATCAGCAATTAAGACTTTGTGAATTGTGTGAAGCTTACTATAAACAAGTTTCTTGTCGTCGCCACCACCCCCAAAAAAGCTATACTCAATCGCCTAGAGAAAGCTACAATGGGGCACCCACCACACGCCGGGCACCATGCTAAGTGTGTTACACCCATCACATCCTTTAATCCCAGCACTCACATACTCCTTTCCAGATGTGGGAGAGTAAGTGATTTACCCAAGTCCTCCCACTGGAAGGTCAGGCAGGGGCCCATACTGGAAACTCATATCTACCTGACTCCAGGCCCCCTACTCTTAACCTTTAGGTCCCATTGCCTCCCAGAGAACTGAGAGAGATGCTGAAAATCCCAAAACATGTTAATATAGGGAATATGTTTAGAGATGCAATCAAAGACTTTGGGATCATACAACCACTTTTATAAGACACCAGCGATCTGCAAGCTTCCAGATAGTAGCCAGAAGGTCTGCCTCCCTCCTTTGGGTTCCTCAAACATTGTACATACCTATCTGTCACAGCACCTGCCACATTATATCAGACCTTAAATTGATGGATTTTTCTTTCCAGCCATTATGTAGGTTCCTCAAGAAAGCAGACAGTAGTGTGTTCATCTTTGCAGCTTGGGCTCATGGCCCAGAACCCGAACAAAGGAGCCCCCAATAAACATTTGTTGAATGAATAAAGTATACATAGATGATCAAATATAAGAAGACACCTCAATTCTTAGGGGCATATAGTGTTAGGAGAAATTGCTAATTCTGTGTACTTAGGTAGCTTCCTCTTAAGGAAAAATAGCAAGAATTAGAATGAAACTAGATGTTAAAGACTTTCAGAGAAGGCAATGAGTAGTCAGTACACGAATACCTCCACTTCCTTTCCCTCTGGCAATGCTCTTCATCTGCCCTCTCGACTTGCCCATCGAGGATGGTGGTGAGAAGCAATCTGGACAACTTAACGTGGCCCCTCTATCCCATTTCAACGCAGCACCAGGCATTTGGTGCAGATTTCCCCTTTCCAACCCTGGCAGTATGAAAGTTCTGTCTTCTAACAAAGCTTTTCTCCCACCCTAACCACCAGAGACTTCTTCCTCTAGGGCAGGAGTTCTGCTGGGCAAGGGAAAATCCACAGAGGCCAAGAACTGAGAGGAGCTAAGCAAGAAAAGAGCCACATATTCTGATTTCTGGAAACCACGCATCACAAGTGGGCTTCCCAAAATTAGGGTCAAATCAAAGAATAAAGAGAAATGGTATGGCTCACACCTGTAATCCTAACACTCTGGGAGGCCGAGGCGGGAGGATCATTTGAGCTCAGGAGTTCGAGACCAGCCTGAGCAAGAGTGAGACCCCGTCTCTACTAAAAATAGAAAGAAATTGGCTGGACAACTAAAAATGTATAGAAAAAATTAGCCGGGCATGGTGGCGTATGCCTGTAGTCCCAGCTACCCGGGAGGCTGAGGCAGGAGGATCACTTGAGCCCAGGAGTTTGAGGTTG